CATATACTCGACTGTTGATCTTACGCTGTGGCATGACATAAAACCTTATCAATCACAAACTAATACAATGAAGCACAATCAAAACGTTCGATGGAAGACTGTCATGAATGATGGCAAAGCCATACCTTTCATCATCCAAATCAATTCCAAGATTGTCATGAAGTAGGGCCACAAAATATGCTGAAGAGAAGCAAATCCTCTTCATGGAGTAAGTGGAATTTCCTCCTTAATTTTGACTAATCCTCACCACAATCGTTAAGAGAATATTATTTGAATTTGTGTTTTTGTTGTTGGGTTTCGAGTATTGATGGACAAAAAGATTGGTCGATCGGTGAGTTAGAATAGGGCGGAATTGATGCTTGATCGAGTCCATATTACCGTCATTGTTGTTGAGTTTTGGATCAAGGGTACATGCATTCGATCGTCACATCAAAAGTTGGAGATTTGTGAATGTTTTAGATTCAAATTTCATCGTCCCTCTCTCTATAATAGTGCTTGATCAAAAAGATAAGAGTAGCTCTAATGTCAAACTGATGGCCTACCCAGAGCCTGCCATATAGTAGTGGGCTGGAACTTCCCATTGAACTGTCAGTTAGCCCATTTAAGGCCAGTGCAGTCGGCCAATTATGGTCTCTCTTTCAGTAGATTTGCTGTGCCACACTTTCAAGAAGTATTTGTTTTGATGCCAGATAGATAATGGATCCAGACCCAAGCAAAAAAGTTAGATGGTCATGGGGCAGCAGGATGTACACTAGCTGATAGTGGGATTCAGATTTCACCTCTATATATTTTTTAATTTTCTTCTTTACGAATTATCCATCATGTATGAGCGATGGGTCCATCATTTTTTAATCCACAACTCTCCACAAGTACCGTGTTTAACCACTCTTTTGCAAGGATCAATTCTTCCACGAATCATATGTTCAAAAGTTCACCTAGAATCATCAACAATCGGCTCTGAAATCTTTTGTTGGAAAACTAGGAAGTTTAATGATCAAAGATTCAATATACATATCTCGAATTCATACCCACCTAAAAGTGTAAGTCCATAAGTAATGAGTGAAGTCCATCAACAATATATAAGTTACTATCGAAAAAAATTCAATCCTATACCAAAAATTAACTTGTAAGATGCAACCCTCTCTCTGATTGATTCATTTGTAGGCATTGGTCATTAAAACAATAAAATAAAATAAAAATATAAGAGAGTTTTACATTAGAGCCATTATTTTTCCGTATCATAGCCAGCGTCTGCTTACATACGTCTGTATAGGTTTTCCTTTTCTTGGTGCTGCTTTTAACCATCGCTAATGCGCTTGCATAATCAAGCTTTTCCAACTGTCGTTGTAGCTGTGGATGTGATTCTGCTCCACAGCATGAGCACTTTGAGTTGTTCACCATCGTAAAGGTTTGCTAGTGGGCAATTATTTATCCGACACAAATGTCCCTTAAACAGTTTGACTACAACATATATGTTTCTGTGGGAAACATTCCTCTATAGATATATACACACATATATATATTCGTCTATGTGTACAGAGAGAGAGAGAGAGAGAGAGAGAGAGAGAGTGCTCCCACATATACTGTGTTACAGTGGCAGATACGACCCAAGGATAAAGGATATGGTTCTTGCATCAGGATCAGGGTCGTCGAGATGGAATGATTTTAATATTTCGATATTTTAAAGTTGAGTTTGCAAGAAACTTCTTTAGAATGAATAACTTGAAGTGGGTTGTTGGTAAATCATTGCGTATACACATTTCAAGTTCAAATAACAACTTTGAATTTAAACCATACATGATTGAGACAAATCTCGTTATAGAAAAATGACTCGACAAAGAGAATAGATGTCGCTAAGAGTGTCAACTCTAATCGGTCGGGACGAACCCAACACGACGCAATTGTTAAATATGCATAATAAATGATCTAAATTAATGTTTGACATTTAAAATACATTAAATAGATTTTTTTTTCCGTAAATCTTAATACAAACATGACATAAAAAAAATTGACATATAAATTACGTGATACGACACAAATTGACACCCTAGGCATTCCCACTTACACACTGGATTTGGATAGCAGGGCCAGAAAGTTTTTGTTTAATGGAAGGTGGTATTGACAAACACATGTGAGGTCACCTGTTTACTAATGTGCTTAGAAGCCATCCATTTTTAAAACCCACCTGAGCTTCTAAAGGTGCTAACCCACTGTCCACTCTCTGCGGGGGCTTTGGCACAAAAACTAACCCATACGAATGCCACCATCTCTAATTTGGACCAGCTTGGCATGCCACTTATGCAAGTTCTATGACCCTTTTCGATTCGCTTTCCCCAAAAAATCAGAAATAGAAAAAGTTTCAACCTTAGGTTTGATATCATCGTAAGGGTGTCCAACTCCGGACTTTCAATGGGTCGCACCTCAGAATCGTGTCATGTCTAAGTCATATTATATTGTGTTAAAATTTGATTAACTCATACTCAAGTCATTTATAGTTTTGTATACTTGGTTTCATATTGTATTAAGTTCATGTTGTGCATAAACAATGTATTAGTCATGCTAAGCAATTTCATGTCGTGTTTAGTAAGATTAAATTCAAATATGATAATTTCACTCCATCTTTGATTCTGGTAGAACAGTCATTGTCCAAAGCAACTGCTCACCTCAAATCCTATTCTACAAATGAAGTTCTTCTACGTCTTTCACATTATGCATGTTGATATATAACTATTTGTTGGATGCTGAATGCCATGGTAGGCCGAGGTTATGAGTATTAGCGGGCCGTCTAATTCAAGATACCACTAACTTCAACCAACTAAACCTAATCCGGTACAAAATTTTCAATTTTTCTCAATGCTATATCACCCACGTTGTTTTAACCGTGGTTCATGATGACTGATTCACTGCTTCAGACTGTCTAGAAGTCTTGTTTGGATGGCAATAGATTAATAATTTTAGGAGAATTACATTCAGACTCTCTGAGATTTGTTATTTAATTACTTAGNTGTTTGGATGGCAATAGATTAATAATTTTAGGAGAATTACATTCAGACTCTCTGAGATTTGTTATTTAATTACTTAGATCTTTTGACATTTAAAATATTATATACAGACCCTTTAAAATTTGTACAAATATTAAATATTTAAAATTTTACAAAAAAAATTCGTTTTCTATTATATCATTTATTGATATAAAATTAAAATTAAAAATTTAATTTTTGCTTAAAAAAATTATAATTAGTATACAATTATATTATCTGTTGGAATAAAACTAAAAAAAATAAACAAGGGGTCAAATTGTAATTGACGCAATATCTTTTATCTTTAATAAGGGTAGTTTGGTTATTTAATAGATAGTATAATTATATACTAATTATGATTTTTTAAAGAAAAAATTAGATTTTTATTTTTTTTGATAAATGACATAATAGAACATAAATTTTGGTTATAAAATTTAAAATTTTTGATATTTTATATTTGATTAGATTATTTTTGATCAAAATATAACATTTTAAACTTAAAGAGTCCAAGTATTATACGTCTATAAACTTGAGGGAGTCTGAGTATAATTTATTAATGCATATTCTAACAGATATTGACGGTAGAGGTCTAAGTGTTACATGCATACAAATCTCAGGGGATTTGTGTGTAATATTTTAAATATCAGGGGATCTAAATACTCAAGTGACAAACCTCAATAATTCTCCCAATATTTTTTTATATTTTGCCTTTTTCATATATAAAGTTGTGAGTGTAGATATATAAAAATGGACATCACTACGAGCTTACAATTATGTAATAATAATCAGATTCCACTGACAATGCAATACATAGAGTGTAGCATTGGATAGGGTTGAGGATCTTTGTCGCATTTTGCTGCCTAGTTCTTGGTCCCCACAAAATATTCTTATAGATCATTTTGCGATATGATTATTTCACTCGAATAATTAGAAGAGAATTAAAAGACAAACTAGAACTCTTTCGTTTTCTTATACTAAATTAAACGAAATTACATAGAATAATAACTCATAATCTTACCTTAATGCTCCATTTTTTTTTCTCTATGCTTTTAACCACTATCCACATTAACATCCCCCTACTTCTCTACTTGTAAAATAACACACAACTAATACACGTCGTCTTCTACTATGTCGATATTGACACCCAACAACACAATTTATGTATGAGTTACGTGCAAAAGTCATCGCAATGAAGTAAAGGAATCTATTGCTATAACTAGTAATATATCATTTTTCGTTTCCTTCATGAAAATGCTTAGTTCGAGATTTCGAGTCACAAGATCAATATCTCATTTTTCTTTCTTTTTCTCCCTTTACGGATGCTTATTTCTATTTAGAAATCGGAGAAAATAACAAAAGTATAGTCAATCAACTACATATATAATAATATCTTGAAAGGGGATTAAAAAGGCTAACCTATTCAATGAGTGCTATTAAACAACTCAGTCATTGCTATAATTTTTACAACAGACAAGACCCAAAAGAAAGAACTTTTCTCCAAAAACCTGTGTGTGGTTGTGTGTTGGGGCAGCATTGTTAGTTGTTTTATTATGATTATTTATTCTTTTGTTAGTGTTTTTTTTTCTATCTTTTAGGTTTGATATTAATGAAAAACAGAACATGCAATGTTTTCTCGTGGAACAGAAGAAAGTGGGTTTGAAATCACTAACAATTTTTAACTTGGCACAGAAGAGAAGGAGAAGTTACAATTGCTCAAGAGAAGTCACGATCGATCACAGACACTCATGATAGATCATGAAAAATACAGTATCGATCTCAACAATTTATGATTGATCATACCCTTTGAAGTTGTAATTTACATCTCAAAAAGGTTATAACTTAGTCTTAAAAAGCTATAATTTTCGGTACTGGTATTGCCGGCGATACCTTAGAAATTCCCTTGAATGTAAGTAGGTAACTAGGTATGCATGCTTTGATGGAAGAAAGGCAAACGTCTCTTCTGAAAGAAATCCCAAGAGAGATGGAACTGCGTTCCTGAAGAAAAAAAAAACACAATTTTTGTGAGTGGGTTTCCCAGTGGAAGTTGGTCTTGTAAATGTAAATGTGCCTGATCACAGTTTTCTCTTTGTAATAAACTTAAGAGTAATGCTACATGGACTTAACAAATAGCATTACTCTAAACTTAAATGGCAATCTACTTATCCTCACCATCTTCTTTTATGAATCAAGCAGTTTTCTACTGACAAATAAAGGAATAACAATAGAGAAATGAAAAGAAAAGACCAGCATTTTTTAACCCATCGTTTCATAATTCAGCCTCTCCTTATTNAGAATCAAGCAGTTTTCTACTGACAAATAAAGGAATAACAATAGAGAAATAAAAAGAAAAGACCAGCATTTTTTAACCCATCGTTTCATAATTCAGCCTCTCCTTATTATATATGAGCCACCATTGTGGATAGTGCTCAACCAGAAAAAAAAAAAATGGAGTCCTACAATGCAGAGACTATGGAGAGCCAAAACAAGGTCCAACCTTCACAGCAACCAGGCAAAGGCACTACCTTCTTCAGAACTTGCTTCAATGGACTCAATGCCTTATCGGGTAGCGATTAATGACTAACTTTTTCCCTAAAGTTTTTTGTGTTCTGAAATTTCTTAGTCTATGGTTATTACAATTATGGTTTTGTAGGTCATAACATGACAATAAATTCCATAATCTGTTCCTCAGGAATAGGAATACTATCAATTCCCTATGCACTGTCTGAAGTGGGGTGGCTGAGCTTGATCATCCTTTTTATGGTAGCAATTCTCTTGTTCTACACTGGATTAGTCCTGCGTCGATGTATGGATGCAGACCCTCTCATCAAAACCTATCCCGATATTGGTCAGCTGGCCTTTGGGAGCAAGGGAAGAGTCATGATATCTACTTTCATGTACCTTGAGCTATACTTGGTTGCAGTAGAATTTCTCATATTAGAAGGTGATAATCTACATAAGCTCTTTCCCAATGCATATTTACATATTGGTGGCCACACAATTGGAGGAAAGCAAGCCTTTGTTTTGCTCACTGCCCTTATGATTTTGCCTACAACTTGGTTAAGGAGTTTGGGTTTGCTTGCTTATGTATCTGCTGGTGGGGTACTGGCTTCTATTGTTCTGGTTTGTTCTGTTTTTTGGGCTGGTGCAGTTGATGGTGTGGGGTTTCATGAGAGAGGAATGCTTTGGAAATGGAGTGGACTTCCAACAGCAGTAAGCTTATTCACAGTCTGTTATGGTGGCCATGCAGTTTTCCCAACGCTATGCACTTCCATGAAAGATAGAAGTCAATTCCCCAAGGTAAAGCTATGATTACCAAACTATGACAATTAGGGTGTATTTGACTGGGTATTAAAGGGTGACCACCGGATCACCTAGCACCATATAATTGATAAACAATAATGTTATTTTGATTTAATTTGTTGATCTAATCCACCACAGTCATTGGATTGGTAGCGGGTCCTAAAGAATATTGAGACTCGCTGTCAATCCAATGACTACAGTCTTCTGGTGATTAGGTCAGTAAATTAGGTCCAAATCACATTATTCATTGATAAATCGCAATGCCATGTGATGGTATTAAATGAGACCTAATCGATAATTTTTTCTTTGCAGAAGATTTTTTAGATAGATGTTAATGTATTATAGTTTTGCCCCCATAAAAAAAAAACTAGTTGGGACAATTGTAAAGGTTTGGTTATTCAATTTTGATTTCAGCATCAAGAATTCAAGCTGTGAAAACATCTTTTCACATACTGGTAAGACTGTAAACATCTGATCTTCTCCAGAACTTGTAGTTGTGAGTGTCCATGCACTGGACTACCTTTTTTTATTTACCATTAATTCAATTGTTTTAATCTTACTAGGTTTCTAGTTCCGCCCCGGATACAATGATAGATCAATTATTACCACCGTTATGAATTGGATTGAAATTAATTGTTCAATCACATCGCATGCTATATTCAAACAAAACATGCTCTTACGATCATGACCTTCATTCCTCTTTAGTTCTGTTTGAAAAATCAGCATCACAGGAGCACCATAACTTTATTTTGCTTAATACTAAATGTCTTTTTTCCCTGCACTACAGGTTTTACTTGTCTGCTTTGTTCTGAGCACCATCAGTTATGCATCAATGGCGGTTCTAGGCTACCTGATGTTTGGAGAAAATTTGATGTCTCAAGTGACTTTAAATCTTCCCACTAGAAACATAAGTTCAAAAATTGCTATTTACACAACATTGATCAACCCCATCACCAAGTATGCCATAATTGTTTCTCCAATAGCAACAGCTGTTGAGGACTCATATCCTTTCCGGAACAGCAGAGCCCTTAGCATCCTCATCAGATCAGTTCTGGTGATCAGCACTGCTGTTGTGGCATTAAGTGTTCCATTTTTCGGCTGTGTGATGGCATTTATTGGTGCATTTTTGAGTACCAGTGTCTCAATGTTGTTCCCCTGCTTATGCTACCTGAAGATCAACAAAGCTGCTCGAAGTTTTGGCCCCGAATTGATGCTGATTACGATAATTATGGTGATGGGTTCGCTTGTAGCTGTTGTGGGTACCTATAGTTCACTGAAAGAAATTGTAAAGCACATCCAACCACAATAAATAAGTTACTAATAATATCAGTAACTCAACTTTATAAGAATTCTGACTATTGTAGACGTTTCTCAGCATCAGAGTCAGTTTATGAAAGGAGCAAGACATACATGTTAGGTTTTAATTTTCTGATTGAAAAGAAATAACATAGCACACAACACATTCTGCAATGAATTTCTTGAAATAGATGACAGAAAATTTAGCAGTGTGTAAGATGATTAGACATTTTTACATAATCCGTTCTACAAATAAAACAAAATTATGATTCAGTATATAAATCAGTCTGAATGACACCAAATGATTGATTGATGATCGCCAACGTAAATGATTACTTCAGCAGCCACAAACTTTTGGGTCTCTATTTTTNACAAAATTATGATTCAGTATATAAATCAGTCTGAATGACACCAAATGATTGATTGGTGATCGCCAACGTAAATGATTACTTCAGCAGCCACAAACTTTTGGGTCTCTATTTTTTTTTCTAATCAACTTTTTCTTCAGTCTGAGTGCCAATAAGGACCACACCATATGTGTACCATATGGAGCATCCTGTAACTCTCAAGCACAGGATGTTCCATATGGTACACCTATGGTGTGGTCCTTATTGGCATTCCCAAGTTCCCAGCTCTGCTCCGGTCCCTTATTAATCAACTCAATAGAGCTACATCCAGCTTCCTTCATTCCAATTGGACTCCATTCAGTCTCTCTGACTATGTTCCCTTCCTTTGCCTCTACCACACTCGTTTGATCTGACATTCTCCCAGCAATTGCATATGTACTGGAAAGAATGATCAAATCTGCTGGGTGTTTATCAATTTCCTGCAATACTCTGTTGACAACTTCCCCCAAATCAACGTTTCCATAAACTCTGCATGCTGCAAGTAATGCACGCCATGCAGTGGCATCACCCTCAATGGGCAAGCTCTTGATTAGTCTATGTGCTTCCTCTAGCAACCCTCCACGACCCAAGAGATCAATCATGCAGCCATAGTGTTCGAGCTTAGGTGTCAAGCCATATTTTCGAATCATCCTCTCGAAACAGTCCATTCCCTCCGTCACCAGTCCTCTATGGCTACAAGCACTCAACACAGCCAAGCAAGTGACTTCATTAGGCCAAAACCCTTCCTCCTCCATCCTGTAAAAAAGTGTAATGGCATTTTTCGCCTGCCCATGGAACCCGTATCCCAATATCATGGCTGTCCAAGATTTCACATCTTTGGTCTCCATTCTATCAAAAATATCAATGGCCTTCCCCAGTAACCCACATTTAGAATACATATCCACTAGCACTGTACCAAGAACTGCATCCAATACCAACTGCTGCTCCTTGACATAGTCATGGACACACTCACCTGCAGCCAAAGCTCCAGAGGCAGCACAAGCTGAAAGTAACCCAGCCAGTGTAGATGAATTGGGTTTCACTCGTCCCAGTTTCATTAACTGTAGTAAAGCTAATGACTCTTCTAGCAGGCCACTTTTAGCATACCCATCCATTAAACAGTTCCATAGAACAATATCCTTTATATGAACTTCATCAAAAACTCTACGTCCTAAATTGATGTAACCAGTTTTCCCATACATTGCAATTAAAGCAGTGACCACATTCAAATCAAGGCAAAACCCAATCTTGATGCACTGCCCATGTAGTGACTCTCCTCCCAAAAGATTATCCAAATCAGTAACAGCTGACAAAGCACTCAACATTGTGGTGACACCAACACCAGAGCCATCCCTACACAATTGTCTGAACAAAATTAGAACCACAGCATGCTGAGATACATGAAGATAACCACCCATCAAGGTGTTCCACGACACCGAATCTCTTTCTTTAGGAAAGTCATCAAACAGTTGGTGGGCATCTTCAATTCTTCCACAAACACCAAAGAAGTGCAAAAGGGTATTCCTTACGTTGATAAACAAATCAAACCCAAATTGAATAACAATTGAATGAACCCCAAAGCCGGTCCAAAAAGCCAATACACGGGCACAAGATTTGAGGGTTGTGATAAAGCTGAACTGGTCTAGCAAAATATTTTGAGCCCTCATGTAATTGAAGACAACAAAAGCTTGTTTCGGGTCATCACTAATCGAATAGCCTCTAAGCATAGTATTGAACATAAAAAGATTTGGGTTTTGTATACTTCTGAAAATAGAGGCTGCATAGTTTATATCTAGTATTGAAGCTGCAAGAAGTTTGCTCAATGTGAAGGGTACGAGATCAAGACCAGTTTTGATCATTGAGCCATGGACTTGAGTGATTTCAGTGGCTTGACTGCAAGATTTTAATAAAGATACGAGCTTTTGCTCTGAGGAAAGTACAGAGTAGTGTCTTGAGAAATGGTGAGTCAACCAAAATTTGAAATTTTGCTTCAGGTGCGAACTAACGGTTATGGTCATGAGCCAGACGTCGGACTTCTCGCGCGGACTTTGTAGTTCAGGAGGAATAACCCAGACAATAGTCCAACTTTGGATATTGCTCGAGTGTTTTGGTTTTATCCAATATGTACCATTTATACATAACACATATTTCGATATGATTGTACATGAATAGTTAAACAAATATATGGTTTAAATACAATAAAAATGCGATACAATCCATCCATAACCATAGCTTGTAATGTTTTAGAAATAAATTATTGGAGTCCTCGTGACCACAAGTGTGAGCTGTACAATAGTTTGAGATACCAAACCTAGGATAGACTTAGTCGAGACTCTTGAGACGAGGAACAAAGTTACAAAGGGATATATTTAGCTTTTACCCTCTTATGCTTAGTTTTGTCGGCGTTCAAGGTTAAATGGATAAGTTTATCGTGCAAAGTTGGTTTAGTATGCATAGTTGTGCTCTGATTCATTGGAGCATTTATACCTTCAAATGTGATGACATAGTAACCACTTAAATACTCATAGTCTAGGCTTGATAACTATTTTTTGTCCGCAAGGATTATGCTTCTATCTTTCTCGCGGTTCGACATATGTTTTGAATTGATGGGATGACAATGATCGTTAATTACATTAGTACTTCGTAACATCAACGTTCTGAACGAGAGACTTTTCAAGGACAATTAATTCTCGGGATCGACCATGTACCTTTTTTCGTCCCATTGTAGGTCATATTCACTCGATCTAGAGGATACCTTTTAATCAATCTCAGTCTATAAAAATTCAAGAAATACATCTTCTAGCTGCAATATGCAACGTGCTGATTTGTGACTAATGATCCACCCACTCCCGTCATGAACATTGAAATCTTTCATAAAAAACTTTGAACTTTGAGATAAATTATTTTCATGGACACGCATAGATAGCATTTGGACTAACTATATTCCCATCAACTTAGCAGGAAGGGAAGAAACACAGAAGAACACTGTTTTGCGTTTACTTCCTCCACCAAAGCATGAACCTATAGGTTGCATTTCACCATTGTTGACGTAATTTAACAGGTTTTCAAAAACTACTCGAGTTTGAATTTCTAAAATAATGAGCTACAAATAAATCAAATTAAAATTAACAGCTACTAATGATTTTTAATATAGCGTTGAAAATATTTTTTTCAGTACCATAACTACATTCTCAAAATAGTATTACAATAAAAGATATAAAAGGTTTGTAATCGAAATGATTTCCCTTTATGAAGCAAAAACTGAAGTCAGTTGAGACTAGGCAATAGGACAGTTAATCGTGTGGGGTGAGGTGAGTGTTTATTGTGTTTTATCGGGTTCACGAAAAAAAAATTATACCCATAATTGATTCGTTTATTAATTCGTATTTAACGAATCATGTTATATCGAGAGTTGTATCGAGTATGATTTGTGTATAATCAGAATATAAACGAGTTGAATCGTATATTTTTTTGGATTAAATTTATTCATATCCAATTATTTTATTAATATTGTCGAGTTAGGTCCACCCATTCACAAACAAACGAATTAAGGAAGATTCGACCCAATCAATTTGGCACTATCTTACAGGGGCTCAGTGTTTGGCCCAACCCCACACACAGCAGACTCAACCTCTAGGCCCATTAGGGTTTAGCCTTGCAACCAATAAATGGTGTACTCAGACTGTGTCACTTCACGCCACATATAGTCTCGTTTTCTCTTCCTCCATTTCCATTGCCTCCATTAGAGAGAGAGAGAGAGAGCAGATCGCGGGACTGAGAACCGTATCGACGGCGAACAATCACCATGGTCCACGTCTCCTTCTATCGAAACTGTAAGTCCTCACTGTTCATTGTGTGTATATTTATGTGTATATATGTATGAGATCTGATGCGCCTGTTATATGTAATTGTGAGAGCATGTTTTCATCAATTTTACTTTATCGGAGTCTCGCTGAACATTGATTTGAATCATGAGTTGTTCCATGTTTGTATATTTCAGTGTAAATGCAACTCATGGTATTTTATGATCTGTTTGATTCCTAAGAAAGAGTAGTTAAAGGAGTGGATACGAAAACTGGGAACTGTCTGTTCATGGTTTGACCCGAGGTTGGATAACATATGTGCTCAAGTGAGGTCTAGAGAAATTAATTAGCTTGATTTTATGGGTAATCAGAACAGCATGGAATACAAGATCGTATTATAATTTTCTCATTTTGTTTATCATTGATTTCCGAGTTACCAAACAATGGGACATTGACTTTAGTAATTGTATAAATGTTGGATTTTGTGGATGGTTTTGCTCGTAAAATTTGAGTGGAAAAGCATGACTGGGATTTTAGGCTGTTTAGTGTCATGGTTATACTGACGAATACGCAGTTATATTTCCTCTACCTGATTGGCTTTTGGAAAAATGACAAGAAAAGAGGAGAAATTGAAAATTCAAGATCCAGTCTGTAATTTATGTGACCTGATAAAATTGATATACTCTCAGCTAATTGGCTTTATTGAGCTGAAGTTTTTGATCCATCAGCAACCAGAAAGCCATGAGATACACGATTTCAAATTAAATTATCTTTTCCCCTGTAGTCTTCTATGCAATAAAACATATGTCAACAGCAGTACTTTCTTACTCCAACACACAATTTGAGAAACACAAATGATGTTCTCAATTTTGGGTCTCAATAATTAAACATGACTGAATGTTAGATGGGAAGACTTTTAAGAAGCCTCGCCGTCCTTATGAGAAGGAGCGATTGGATGCTGAACTGAAGCTTGTGGGAGAGTATGGGCTCCGGTGCAAGAGGGAGCTCTGGAGGGTTCAGTATGCNGGCGGTTCGACATATGTTTTGAATTGATGGGATGATAATGATCATTAATTACATCAGTACTTCGTAACATCAACGTTCTGAACGAGAGACTTTTCAAGGACAATTAATTCTCAGGATCGACCATGTACCTTTTTTCGTCCCATTGTAGGTCATATTCACTCGGTCTAGAGGATACCTTTTACTCAATCTCCGTCTATAAAAATTCAAGAAATACATCTTCTAGCTGCAATATGCAACGTGCTGATTTGTGACTAATGACCCACCCACTCCCGTCATGAACATTGAAATCTTTCATAAAAAACTTTGAACTTTGAGATAAATTATTTTCATGGACACGCATAGATAGCATTTGGACTAACTATATTCCCATCAACTTAGCAGGAAGGGAAGAAACACAGAAGAACACTGTTTTGCGTTTACTTCCTCCACCAAAGCATGAAACCTATAGGTTGCATTTCACCATTGTTGACGTAATTTAACAGGTTTTCAAAAACTATCTCGAGTTTGAATTTCTAAAATAATGAGCTACAAATAAATCAAATTAAAATTAACAGCTACTAAAGATTTTTAATATAGCGTTGAAAATATTTTTTTCAGTACCATAACTACATTCTCAAAATAGTATTACAATAAAAGATATAAAAGGTTTGTAATCGAAATGATTTCCCTTTATGAAGCAAAAACTGAAGTCAGTTGAGACTAGGCAATAGGACAGTTAATCGTGTTGGGTGAGGTGAGTGTTTATTGTGTTTTATCGGGTTCACGAAAAAAAAATTATACCCATAATTGATTCGTTTATTAATTTGTATTTAACGAATCATGTTATATCGAGAGTTGTATCGAGTATGATTTGTGTATAATCAGAATATAAACGAGTTGAATCGTATATTTTTTTTGATTAAATTTATTCATATCCAATTATTTTATTAATATTGTCGAGTTAGGTCCACCCATTCACAAACAAACGAATTAAGGAAGATTCGACCCAATCAATTTGGCACTATCTTACAGGGGCTCAGTGTTTGGCCCAACCCCACACACAGCAGACTCAACCTCTAGGCCCATTAGGGTTTAGCCTTGCAACCAATAAATGGTGTACTCAGACTGTGTCACTTCACGCCACATATAGTCTCGTTTTCTCTTCCTCCATTTCCATTGCCTCCATTAGAGAGAGAGAGAGAGAGAGAGCAGATCGCGGGACTGAGAACCGTATCGACGGCGAACAATCACCATGGTCCACGTCTCCTTCTATCGAAACTGTAAGTCCTCACTGTTCATTGTGTGTATATTTATGTGTATATATGTATGAGATCTGATGCGCCTGTTATATGTAATTGTGAGAGCATGTTTTCATCAATTTTACTTTATCGGAGTCTCGCTGAACATTGATTTGAATCATGAGTTGTTCCATGTTTGTATATTTCAGTGTAAATGCAACTCATGGTATTTTATGATCTGTTTGATTCCTAAGAAAGAGTAGTTAAAGGAGTGGATACGAAAACTGGGAACTGTCTGTTCATGGTTTGACCCGAGGTTGGATAACATATGTGCTCAAGTGAGGTCTAGAGAAATTAATTAGCTTGATTTTATGGGTAATCAGAACAGCATGGAATACAAGATCGTATTATAATTTTCTCATTTTGTTTATCATTGATTTCCGAGTTACCAAACAATGGGACATTGACTTTAGTAATTGTATAAATGTTGGATTTTGTGGATGGTTTTGCTCGTAAAATTTGAGTGGAAAAGCATGACTGGGATTTTAGGCTGTTTAGTGTCATGGTTATACTGACGAATACGCAGTTATATTTCCTCTACCTGATTGGCTTTTGGAAAAATGACAAGAAAAGAGGAGAAATTGAAAATTCAAGATCCAGTCTGTAATTTATGTGACCTGATAAAATTGATATACTCTCAGCTAATTGGCTTTATTGAGCTGAAGTTTTTGATCCATCAGCAACCAGAAAGCCATGAGATACACGATTTCAAATTAAATTATTTTTTCCCCTGTAGTCTTCTATGCAATAAAACATATGTCAACAGCAGTACTTTCTTACTCCAACACACAATTTGAGAAACACAAATGATGTTCTCAATTTTGGGTCTCAATAATTAAACATGACTGAATGTTAGATGGGAAGACTTTTAAGAAGCCTCGCCGTCCTTATGAGAAGGAGCGATTGGATGCTGAACTGAAGCTTGTGGGAGAGTATGGGCTCCGGTGCAAGAGGGAGCTCTGGAGGGTTCAGTATGCTCTGAGCCGCATTCGTAATAATGCCAGAATGCTTCTGACCCTTGATGAGAAGGACCCTCGTAGGATTTTTGAGGGTGAAGCCCTACTTAGGAGGATGAACAGGTATGGACTGCTGGATGAAAGCCAGAACAAGCTCGATTACGTGTTGGCCCTCACTGTTGAGAACTTCCTTGAGCGGCGCCTCCAAACACTCGTGTTTAAGACTGGAATGGCAAAGTCGATCCATCATGCTAGAGTGCTCATTAGACAGAGGCATATCAGGTATGAATCATGTATAGTCCCCAGTGACCCAATTCGGGAAGACTGTATAGTTTTCCAGTTATGGCTACTTGTTAATTTTCCATATAGCTGAACTAATGTTTATGGTCTCCATGCAAATTTTGTGTTGGTATACAGTAACTGGTTAAATAATACTGGATTTTGTAAGAAATTAAGTATGATCAAAATTGTATGTGTGATTGTTCATATTTGTTTTTTTGCCTTCACGTAGACTGACGTATGTTTATATGTGCTTGTTCATATTATTGCGTCTCTACATGTTGTATGTTGTGCTATGTGATGTTTCTGAATCCTGCCATTATGTTGTCAATTGATGTAATATGAATACTCGTTTATGGTCTTAGACTTAAAACATTTCTTAAAATATGCCGTGTTATATGATATTTCTGATTCGGAATTTCTGAATCCTGGTATTCTGTTGTCAATTGTTGTAGTAGGAATACTCTATATTATGGTCACTACTTTAAAATAGCATGTGATGACATTTTTGTCTTTCTAGAGGACTACGCTTCTTATATTGGACTGTTCTATTATTTTGTTGTTTTAATCACATGGGTTGATGTTTTCGTAGTGATTGCGTTGGTGGTTGTACTTCAAATTTAAAGTGATGTATAAAGAATAACTCATTAATTTCCTTTCCTTATTTTTGTTTTCCTGTTTACTACTATGGACACAACATAGTTTTTTAGTTCAGTCTATTGTACACAAATATTCATTTTTTTCCACTTAGCACGACATTAGATTTTTTAGGTCCATCCCTTCACCGTGTGAAACACCTTTGTAGCCAGTCGCCCATGCACAGTGTGTCTTTTCCTTAAGTGCATGCATGGTTGAGAGGTTATAAAATCTACAGAAGATTGCCACAGTCCAGAAACCCATGTTGCATATATTCCATAACATTTTAGTGTGCATCTTGCGCAAATATACATACACCGACCCCCTAATTTTCTCTCCCCCCCCCCCAAAAAAAAAAAAAAATGAAAAAACACATGTTTGTTGGATTGCAACATATAATTTGAACTAGTGGCTAACGAAGATGCGTCCTCTCAAGTTGGATTGACTTTATTACTCTTATTTTTGGTACCTCGATGTTAGTATATCAGTTTTGAATCTCTTGATTATTAATCATGTTCATCTTAAAAATATATGTTTTGTGTACTGCAGGGTTGGGAGGCAGGTAGTCAATGTTGCCTCATTTATGGTGAGAGTGGACTCACAGAAGCATATTGATTTCTCGCTTACAAGTCCTTTTGGTGGTGGTCGTCCTGGTAGAGTGAAGCGAAAGAACACAAAGGCAGCTGCTAAGAAGGCTGCTGGTGGAGATGGAGATGAAGAGGATGAAGAATGAGTCCTTGTGTTCTGTGTAGTTCGTGAAGGTAATATTAGGAATGATGGCCCAGAGTTTGTCTTCACCTCCAGAGTACTTTTTTTTCCATTAAATTGTTGTTGGTCTCTTTGACAATCTTCATTTGTAGGAAATTTTGGATGCCTTCATGCTTATGCTTTTTTGACTATCATTCAGAAAGATGTTCTTATTTGATTTGGTAACCTGTTGTTGTACAAGATTTGGTATTCTTGGGTTTCTATAGATGATGGGGCAATCTTTGCGCAAATTTGTGATTTGGTAGCTTTTTTTTTCTAATTGTTTTGTTGATAATGGAAACCCAAACTTGTGGATGCCTTGTAAACCAGGTAAATTAGGATTCTCCTGCTGGCTCAAGGTCTTAGTTTCAGAATTTTTGGTCTGCTTGTTAGGTGTGGATTGTTGTTAGTGCTGCCTCCGCAATTTGTTGGATTAGCATCTTGGCAAGAATCTGTCGAATGAAATGAGCTTTTCGTGATATAAAAACTCTCCTGTCTATTCCCCTTCGTGGGTTAGGGGGGCTTTTGGTTAAGTTGTTAGTAGTACTTATAGTCGATGTCTCTAATTTCGATAAGTGGAACGAATGCAGAAAAACCTGCTTTAGAAGGAATAGAGGTGAAACAGCGCGTTTGAGCGAAGCTGCTAGAGGCCCTTCATCTTTGTCACTTTGGAAGAAGACTTTCTAACATGANGGGTTGATGTCTCTAATTTGGATAAGTGGAACGAATGCAGAAAAACCTGCTTTAGAGGGAATAGAGGTGAAACAGCGCGTTTGAGCGAAGCTGCTAGAGGCCCTTCATCTTTGTCACTTTGGAAGAAGACTTTCTAACATGATAACCCCAGCTTCATGGTTGTAGCTGGTAGACTCGTATACCCCGAACAAAGTTCTAAATCTTTCCGGAGGGGTAGGGAAAAGGCAAAGCACTGGCATGTGGCTAAACTTTTCATGAGAGTTGAGTACACTTATATCATCAGAATATGAAGAAATTCGACAACTGGGGCACATCAACGTTCTTGGTGAAAAACCAAGTCCTATTGAACTCTAATAGATTGATTTTTGTTAGGACTCAATAATAACTCAATCTACACATGTAGAATTGATGGCCTTAATGCGAGGAAGTTGAAGTCGTTTTGGCAAATATGTTATAGGAGCTACTAACACCTATATTTAAGTTGGACATCATCCTGTAGCAATGGCCAATCTACTACTGTTAAGTTTCACTGGAAATCTCCTAGCATGGTGGGAAAGATTACCAGATGCGATCAAGTCCTCAATACAATACTTTGAATTTTTTTGGACAGTCGATACCTAATCAAGTAAAAAGAGGGTGATTGGAGTAGAGAATCTGAATTAAATCCGTATTATCATTGCTTTGATCATTTCTACTATGGTGCTCACACTCAATCCATACCTACTTATTNCAGCCAATCTACTACTGTTAAGTTTCACTGGAAATCTCCTAACATGATGGGAAAGATTACCAGATGCCAGATGCGATCAAGTCCTCAATACAATACTTTGAATTTTTTTGGATAGTCGATACCTAATCAAGTAAAAAGAGGGTGATTGGAGTAGAGAATCTGAATTAAATCCGTATTATCATTGCTTTGATCATTTCTACTATGGTGCTCACACTCAATCCATACCTACTTATTGTACTAATCAGGTCATTTGGGAAGCGTGCGGTGGGTCGGAGCAACAAAGACCAGGTTAGTGTAGGTATTGCCCTTTTGGTTTTTTTATTCAAATGCCAATGTCCTTTCTTCTTGCTCCTCTCCCCTACTCCTTTTATCTCTTTCCTTTACCCCCTCTTTCTATTTGGTACCTATGTGGATTAGCATTTAGTAGGAGCTAGCTTCTCTCAATCAATCTTCTGACTCATATTTTTAGTTGATGCTAAAATTTTGTTAGTCGGTAAAAGCAACTGGTGGATCACCCACCCATGGCCTGGTAGAATAACGGGTCAGAATTCTTACACGGCTATCAATGGAACCCTTCACAGCCTAAATCAATGCATAATTAGAACTTTATTAACATAATATTGTAAAAAGGAGAAGAGGCCCGGGAAGGGAGTATTACCCTGAGGGCCCTGAGTTTTTTTTTGGTTCAATGGTCAAGGATGTTCTTATCAATTTATGTCCCAATTTAATTAAAAGTAGGTCTTTCACGTTGGAATTAGAGTAATTATAGTGATATTGTCATATAATATCACTTTTTTGTCTACCAACTCTCCATCCCGTGAAAGCAAATGCAACATCTATGCGCTGCCAGTCATCCAGAAAATTCCTAGAAATTAGCTAAATTTTCTAAGTCCTCCATTCGTTCCTAAATATCTGTTATTTAAGATTTTTGTATAAGAATTAAGGAAATTTTTAAATAACTCTAATATGAGTAAAAAATAATTGTACAAGATTAAAATACCCTTATTAAATAAATATTGGAAATGAAAGGAATATGAAAGACATTTAGCCTCCACCTAATCTAATGCATTGAAAAGTTAAGNCCAGGCTATCGAGATCTATACCTATTAATGTTGAATTTAACTCATTTTCTTCTCTTGTAATAGTATTTAAAAAAAAGTTGAATTTTTGAGTAACTTTGTACGAAGGCTTTTCAAATTTGATCTCGAATGATAATAAGTAAGAATACATTGTTTATCACTTTTATCTCCATACACTATTGATTGTGGGTTCTTACAAATTGATTGTAAGTTTAGCCTTACAAATTACTAGAATTCGATTTGATTATTCGATAATTTTATTTCTTTATAGTCAATAGCTGAGTCTGCTAATATATTGGATGTCTAATCTAAAAATTGGATTCACTCCGAATAAATAAATCAAGTTTAATTTTAACCAATTAATCTAAATTTCAACCCAAACTCAATTAAAGAATTACTTAATTTCAATATTTATTCATCTATATACATATAATTTAGATATTAATTGGATTTGATATTGGTATGAAAAATTCATAAAATATAGATAATTTTGGATTTGAATTCGAATAATCATTCAAAAATATTTAAGTCAAAATTCAATCCATTAACATGTCTAACAGGGACCTTATCAAAGAAAGCACAGAGCACACCACCAACCTTGGTCTCCATGGTGATTGTNTTTATTAATGGTGAGTATGGGGGGCACCAATGGCCTTATTCTATGTTAATTTGGATGAGATTTCCTTTCGGCAAAATAACGTGTCTTACTGAATGATATTCTCTCATAAAACACGTCTTCTCTCCCTGCTATCGTCTCACACAAAAAAGAAAGCGCGTAGAGTCCCGACCCAATCNAGGCATCTCCAGTGTCGAAAGAGTGTGCCCGAGTAGTTCATTGCAAGTCCCCATTTGGCTAGCTCGTGTGCACAATGGTCTGGTGAAAAAAAATATTGAACGTAACCGTTATACTACGTCAGTATTGTTATATGATATAATGATCAACTAATAAGTAAACAAATCAACAAAATAGGTTTCAATAAAACTCATAAACACCCAACCATGTAATACATAATCACCTTTATGATAGAAAGTGACTCGCATTTTATCTTTTTTGTTCTTTTTTTTTTAATTTAATAATTATACTTACGAGCATGAATTTGAGATCTTGTTGGATGATTGGCAGAATAGACCAATGAACCACAATCATCTTCTCTGTTTCCTGTTGTGTCTGTTTTGGACTGGCCTTTGTGCTGTGTCATCGTGTCTAGGATTACTTATCTAGATGAGAAATGCCATTTGGCACCTCAAGAGACACCCAATAAAAAAACAAAAGCCATCTGAAAATATGTAGCCTAGAATTATTGAAAAGTTGAAGAAATATCCTTCCAAACCCTTTGATTCTAATGCATACTATCTGAGTAATGGTGTAACTGTTTAAAAAAATAATAAAAAGAATAGAATTTTATGATGGGTATCGAATAATTGTTTAGCCATTAAAATTACCAAAAAATCCCCGAGGTAGTAAAATTCTAGGATTTTTTAAAGATAAATATTCCAATCGGATTCTTTTAACCCACCCAATAGGTGAGTTAAATTTAGAAGGTGAATTTGGGAATATAAATACTATTCACGGGGGATCTGAACTATTTCAAGGGGTAAAATAGGATTTTCATTATTTATTAAAGAAAAAAAAAAAAACTTTACGGATGATACATAACATGGCGGGACATGGCAGACAGCTCATTGCTGCGTCAGGTTTCCACTCATCGACGGGATTACGTGACGTGACCCACCTTGTTGGGACCCACAGGTACCAATATCTTTCCTTATCTGTTCACATGGGTCCCACCTCTGCTTTTGTCTCGGACGACCCACCATGTTGCTGACAAGAAGGAATCACAAGGAAGGATAAGTCTATTTACCCAAATTCAATTTTTTTTTAAACCATATCAAATTAAATAAATAAAAAATCATTTCTACATAATATATCTTACTTAGAGTTATTTATATTAATTGATTATAAAACAATTAAATAATAAATTTTACGCTTGTAAATTTTTAGGGTTAAGTCATTAAAAAAATATCTCTCATGTATATCTTAATTTTTGTGTAGATAATTTGTCTTTAATTAAATCAAAGAAAGAATTAATCGAAATGTACGTACGTTAGTCCGAATATTCTTTGGCTATTAAAAAAATATAACTGATAAATTATATTTTGGTATCCTCTCCAAACTAGANATATTAATGGTGAGTATGGGGGGCACCAATGACCTTATTCTATGTTAATTTGGATGAGACTTCCTTTCGGCAAAATAATGTGTCTTACTGAATGATATTCTCTCATAAAACACGTCTTCTCTCTCCCTGCTATCGTCTCACACAAAAAAGAAAGCGCGTAGAGTCCCGACCCAATCNCATTATAAGATGTTTTATTGGATTTGTTATATTTACGGCGTGTTGTGTTGTAATATATTAAAATTAATTTAATTTAAACCTAATTTATTTATCATTGGTCATAGTTTGGTTTGTATGTCGATGAGTTTATGTCACGTATAAATAATTTCGTACNTGGCATCTCCAGTGTCGAAAGAGTGTGCCCGAGTAGTTCATTGCAAGTCCCCATTTGGCTAGCTCGTGTGCTGCAGTGGCTAGCTCGTGTGCACAATGGTCTGGTGAAAAAAAATATTGAACGTAACCGTTATACTACGTCAGTATTGTTATATAGTATAATGGTCAACTAATAAGTAAACAAATCAACAAAATAGGTTTCAATAAAACTCATAAACACCCNCATTTGAAAACAAAATTTGCTAATTTATTATTTAATTTCAAAAACACTAATTTTAAATCCGTTGATTTTTTATCGATCCTACTAAAGAAACTTATTAAATAAAGTTGGAAAAAATAGGAGTAAGAAAAGAAGCGAGACTTGGGCATTATTGGTTTAACCGAATTTTTGGGATTAACTGGCATTTATANTCACGCTATCGAGATCTATGCTGAATTTAACTCATTTTCTTCTCTTGTAATAGTATTTAAAAAAAAGTTGAATTTTTGAGTAACTTTGTACGAAGGCTTTTCAAATTTGATCTCGAATGATAATAAGTAAGAATACATTGTTTATCACTTTTATCTCCATACACTATTGATTGTGGGTTCTTACAAATTGATTGTAAGTTTAGCCTTACAAATTACTAGAATTCGATTTGATTATTCGATAATTTTATTTCTTTATAGTCAATAGCTGAGTCTGCTAATATATTGGATGTCTAATCTAAAAATTGGATTCACTCCGAATAAATAAATCAAGTTTAATTTTAACCAATTAATCTAAATTTCAACCCAAACTCAATTAAAGAATTACTTAATTTCAATATTTATTCATCTATATACATATAATTTAGATATTAATTGGATTTGATATTGGTATGAAAAATTCATAAAATATAGATAATTTTGGATTTGAATTCGAATAATCATTCAAAAATATTTAAGTCAAAATTCAATCCATTAACATGTCTAACAGGGACCTTATCAAAGAAAGCACAGAGCACACCACCAACCTTGGTCTCCATGGTGATTGTTCTGTCACTTCTGTGAACCAATTCTGGCATCTCCAGTGTCGAAAGAGTGTGCCCGAGTAGTTCATTGCAAGTCCCCATTTGGCTAGCTCGTGTGCTGCAGTGGCTAGCTCGTGTGCACAATGGTCTGGTGAAAAAAAATATTGAACGTAACCGTTATACTACGTCAGTATTGTTATATAGTATAATGGTCAACTAATAAGTAAACAAATCAACAAAATAGGTTTCAATAAAACTCATAAACACCCAACCATGTAATACATAATCACCTTTATGATAGAAAGTGACTCGCATTTTATCTTTTTTGTTCTTTTTTTTTTAATTTAATAATTATACTTACGAGCATGAATTTGAGATCTTGTTGGATGATTGGCAGAATAGACCAATGAACCACAATCATCTTCTCTGTTTCCTGTTGTGTCTGTTTTGGACTGGCCTTTGTGCTGTGTCATCGTGTCTAGGATTACTTATCTAGATGAGAAATGCCATTTGGCACCTCAAGAGACACCCAATAAAAAAACAAAAGCCATCTGAAAATATGTAGCCTAGAATTATTGAAAAGTTGAAGAAATATCCTTCCAAACCCTTTGATTCTAATGCATACTATCTGAGTAATGGTGTAACTGTTTAAAAAAATAATAAAAAGAATAGAATTTTATGATGGGTATCGAATAATTGTTTAGCCATTAAAATTACCAAAAAACCCCCGAGGTAGTAAAATTCTAGGATTTTTTAAAGATAAATATTCCAATCGGATTCTTTTAACCCACCCAATAGGTGAGTTAAATTTAGAAGGTGAATTTGGGAATATAAATACTATTCACGGGGGATCTGAACTATTTCAAGGGGTAAAATAGGATTTTCATTATTTATTAAAGAAAAAAAAAAAAACTTTACGGATGATACATAACATGGCGGGACATGGCAGACAGCTCATTGCTGCGTCAGGTTTCCACTCATCGACGGGATTACGTGACGTGACCCACCTTGTTGGGACCCACAGGTACCAATATCTTTCCTTATCTGTTCACATGGGTCCCACCTCTGCTTTTGTCTCGGACGACCCACCATGTTGCTGACAAGAAGGAATCACAAGGAAGGATAAGTCTATTTACCCAAATTCAATTTTTTTTTTAAACCATATCAAATTAAATAAATAAAAAATCATTTCTTGATAATATATCTTACTTAGAGTTATTTATATTAATTGATTATAAAACAATTAAATAATAAATTTTACGCTTGTAAATTTTTAGGGTTAAGTCATTGAAAAAATATCTCCCATGTATATCTTAATTTTGGTGTAGATGATCTATTTTTAATTAAATCAAAGAAAAAATTAATCGAAATGTACGTACGTTAGTCTGAATATTCTTTGGCTATTAAAAAAATATAACTGATAAATTATATTTTGGTATCCTCTCCAAACTAGAAACAAATATGACCAATATTATAAGATGTTTTATTGGATTTGTGATATTTACGGCGTGTTGTGTTGTAATATATTAAAATTAATTTAATTTAAACCTAATTTATTTATCATGGGTCATAGTTTGGTTTGTATGTCGATGAGTTTATGTCACGTATAAATAATTTCGTACAAATTCATTTAGTAAATATTTGAAAACAAAATTTGCTAATTTATTATTTAATTTCAAAAACACTAATTTTAAATCCGTTGAGTAAGAAAAGAAGCGAGACTTGGGCATTATTGGTTTAACCGAATTTTTGGGATTAACTGGCATTTATAATTTACAAGTGATTGCATGTATTTATATATACCCTCGGAGGAATAGATCGAAAATAACTCTTTTATTAGAGAAGTTTCTTGTTAAAAAAAAGAAAAAGAAATTTAAGATGGCCCTTGGGGTACCATAAGGAGTTCAACGTATTGAGCACGTCAAAGAACACGGTAGCAAGTTATGAGCGTTTGAATCTATTAAAAGCATTTTTACTGTAATTTTATTTAATAATGACAATAGGCAGCATTGATGATATGATGTCCACATTATATTAATATTTATTATTTTTTGTAAAAAATAAAAGTTTAATTAGAGCAATAAAAAGAAAAGAAAAATATTATGATAAAGTTTTTTATTTATTTTTTGATAACATATTTGAAAAGTAAACAAAATATCTAAGTAGTAATAATAGGCCAATAGTATATTTTTTTCCGTTCATTACAAAAGTTACATGCCCCAAGTTACTTTCATGAACTGTAAATAGGTAAGTCCTATAGTTGAAGTGATAAGAGGCTTGTATTATAAATTTACATATTTTAAATTTAAATTTTAATAAAATTTTAGAATCAAATAGTAAAAAATTTCTCTCTCATCTCGACCTAAATGGTCCTCCTTAGACCAAAAAAAATAAATAGTCAAAATTAATGCGAGTAAACTAAACCCAAAAAAAACCTGAAAATAGATTAAATCAAATAGTTATGGTACTATTTTTTTTCATATTTACCCAAGAACTGAAAATAAAATAAAGGGAATGAGAAAAAAGTATGGTCAATCACTTTTTCCCTTCTACATTTAATTATTCTAAAAAGTGGGGTTAATTTAACATTGTACAAAAGAAGAGGGGACCAAAATGAAATCCCAAAACGCCTCCATTTCTTCCTTTTTCCTCGCTCTCTTTTTAATCTCTACACCCCTAACATTTCTTTCTTTTTTTTTTTTTTTTCCATTCTAACCTCAAAACTCTACATGAAAAGTTCAGACTGCAACAACGCATAGTAGTTGGCAGTCTCATCTTCAAACTCCCAAAACCCATCACACAAAGCGAAGGCGAGGTCTCTACCGTTGATGTCATCATCACCACCGTCGACTTTGTGGGGTATCCCAAGCTCATCATCCGAGGCTTCAAGAAGGTGTCTAATGACTCTCTCTTTGTCATCTTCTTCACCATGTGAGCTAGGGCTACACTCAGAGGTGGCTGGGACGGTGGTTTGGTGGTCTGGGTCCGCCTCTGCGGTGACGGAGAGTGAAGGGTCGAAGTTGTTGGAGTCACAAGAGAGCTCTTGCTGGAGACTTGTGAAGATAGCTGAGAGGTCCTGGTTGGGTTCATCTTCTTCATCTTCAAGAATGGAGAGTATGTGGGTATATGATTTTTGGCGCTTTGAGTCCTCACAGTCTTCAAGGGCAAGAGTTTCTTCCCTATGGCGTTTTGATGGTGTTTCGGCCATTTGANGCAGGGGTTGCTAACAAAAATAGCCGCTGCATTTGGTAAGGCAAACGTACACCTGATAAGCATGTCATAGCTTCAAATAATGACAAAGCCAAGGAAAAAGAGAGCATTTAAAGCTGCTGGTTGTACAAGTGGAGGATCTCTTGTATACGATTTTCTAGAAAAAAAAAAAAGTNTAGAGAGAGAGAGAGAGAGAGCGACAGGTGACTAGGTGAGCTAGAGAGATAAAAGAGGATGGGATGACGAGTGAAAGAAGGGGTTGGACATGGTTATATACAGAATTGTAGGAGAGCGGAGTTCCGGTCAAAATGAGGAAGAGAGAAAGTGGGAAGATTTAATGCATTGTTTAATGCAAGGACTGTTGGGAGAGAGAGAGAGGACCAATGAAAGATGCTTGGAAAAAGCAGAGCATTAAAAAATTAAAAGAGTTGGTACTGTTAGCTTGTGTCTCATGAGTTTGTCTACTTCTTCCCACCATCATGAGATTATTTTTTGGGTTAATTGTTTTTTATGCACGTACTTTCGGTGAGAAACACATGATATATTAACGTTTATAATATCTTTATAGTTATGTATTAAAATAAAGTAATTGATATAGTTAATAAAATTAAAAAAATTATTATAATATCTACATTTTAAAATAAACTTTTCGTTTGATTTATACTTGATCATAAAATTAATAAAACATGATAACAAAGCAACAAATTTCAATCTAGCATGTCAATCTCTTTTTTCCTTAAGTAAGGTTTTGATTCGGTACTGAAAATTATTTATATTTTTCTTACATATTTTTTGATCTCGGACTGATGTCTTATTTATTTGGGTATTACAACATATATTATAAAAAGTAGTTTAGGCATTTAGGCAATGTTAGTCCACAACATTCTCTATTAATTTGGATGATAAAAATAATCATTTTACTTTGGTACATAATTATAAGTGGGTAATGTGCATAATTTTACAGCGTTAAATAGGTAAAGTGCTTCTAACCGAAATCACAGAAAGTAAAAAATAATTAACCCTAATTTTTTTAGGGGTAATAATAACACGAAATTGACACAATTAACAAGTTTAAATGATATTATAAGAATACAAATTTTTATTATATTTTATCAAGTTGTGACCAAAATCTTATACAAAAAAAGATATTTTTACTTATTTTTATAATTATATTTATTAAGTTAATTTTTAATTTATAAAAAAAATATGAACATATGTTCAATTAAGCGATAATAAAATTTTAAACATTAAATTAAGTGTTAAATTTTTTATTTACAAATTATATGAATCAACACAATCATATACAAAAATAAATAGATCAATACAACACAATATAATTAATTAAACATATTAAATTAATGTTAATTAATATTCGACACACACCTAAAATAACATAACACGAAATGATACAATTGACATCCCTATTATTTTCTGGCAAATCCAGGGGTTGCTAACAAAAATAGCCGCTGCATTTAGTAAGGCAAACGTACACCTGATAAGCATGTCATAGCTTCAACATAATGACAAAGCCAAGGAAAAAGAGAGCATTTAAAGCTGCTGGTTGTACAAGTGGAGGATCTCTTGTATACGATTTTCTAAAAAAAAAAAAAAGTTATAAATTTTCTTCTTTTTTTTTAATGGTAAAAAATTAATATTTTTTTAGGATATTAAATTTCTTTGTTTTTTCCAAGATAATGTGTTGCCCTACTAACGGCTCCTAGTTTTCCTCAACGGCATTGATGAGTGATAAGATTAGGGTTTGGTTCAAATGGACGGACCAGATGGGTTTAATAATTTGGATGTGGGTCCAACTTCAAACACAAATACCAATAAGTTATAATCAACATGGAGAGAATCAAACGATTAGAATTTCATCATTTAATCTATATATTTTGTTATGTCCACAAATCACATCTAGATCAATTACTCTTTAATGGTTGAAGATTTACATATTGGATCTAGGGAAATTTATTTGTATTTATATTGAATTATTAAGAATAAAAAATAAAAAAATGGATCAAAATCCGAGTTATATACAGCTAGAATCTTGGGAGATTCATCTAGGGAAGACAGACAAATAAAAAATATAATAAAAAAAATATAATATGTGACTGAGAAGTGACAATACTAAAGAGGATAAAACGGACATTTAACACTTTTGGCAGCTTCCATAAAATACCGACATATCAGAGATTTGTATCTACAGGCCACGACAAGTAATCAATTGTCACCGCGGGGCTGCGGCCATCGAATTGTAAATTTGATTTTTTTTTTTTTGAGCTATTGTAAATTTGATTTAATTGGTATATAAGTTGAGAGTTTGATTCACGTATTAGAATTTATATTCAGTTTTACTTAGATTTATAAATTTGAGTAATATAAACAAGTCTCTAGTCATTATGAACAGAATAAGAATTTCTGCCATTACCCAAAGAGGAAAAAAAAAAAAATCTATTGTCCAATTTTTAATATCTTGTCTACAGATGCGATTTGTCGAGTTCATATTTTTGAATGGTTCTAAAATTTTATTTAATTTCAACTTGATTTAAAAAACGAGTTGAGTCCTCTTGGCCCTAGGTGTCCTTCTCAAATGACAAATTGCAGTGACATCCCCTATAGAAAGACATAATTAAAAGGACACCGCTTACATGTTTTGAAATCACACAGATATCATGTATTTTTTTGGCAAAATAAAAAAAAACATATTAGAAAGACGTCATTTCAAAATAATGAAAGTCATTTTCATAATTATACCTTTCTACTACGGATTTAGTTGTAGTTTATGTAAGGAAATAAAAAAAAAATAGATGAAAGTGATATATGTATTTATTTTTCTATTTTTATTTTGGAAGTTTATAGATCTTATTTTTGTCTACCGACAATTGATTTTTTCTATAATTTATTCATTTTGTTCTTGCCAGTGACTTATATGATTCATTTCCGACTTAGGTAATAACTTGTCATTTTCAGTTGTATTCTATGATGTTACGAAAGCACTCTATTTTCTAAGTAAACTTAATTGACCCGTTACCAAGAAATTTCTACATTTCTTTCTTTTTTTTTGTTTTAATTAAACAGGGAGAAATGTTTGAACTAATTTACATACATTACAATTAATTTTTTTTTCGATTCAGTCAAAAACAGATTATTCATGTCGGGACTAATGTATTCATAAGAGATAAATTTTTTATACTGTGACCTCAAAAATTTATTATAATTCAAATTTAAAATATCTAAATTTATATCACATTTTTTTCGTTTTTTTGGGGGAAGGTGGTTATGAGTCAGAGTCTTGGACTAAAGGCTACGCAAAAGGTCCANTTTTTTTTTTTTTTTTGAGCTATTGTAAATTTGATTTAATTGGTATACAAGTTGGGAGTTTGATTCACGTATTAGAATTTATATTCAGTTTTACTTAGACTTATAAATTTGAGTAATATAAATACGTCTCTAGTCATTATGAACAGAATAAGAATTTCTGTCATTACCCAAAGAGGAAAAAAAGAAAAAATCTATTGTCCAATTTTTAATATCTTGTCTACAGATGCGATTTGTCGAGTTCATATTTTTGAATGGTTCTAAAATTTTATTTAATTTCAACTTGATTTAAAAAACGAGTTGAGTCCTCTTGGCCCTAGGTGTCCTTCTCAAATGACAAATTGCAGTGACATCCCCTATAGAAAGACATAATTAAAAGGACACCGCTTACATGTTTTGAAATCACACAGATATCATGTATTTTTTTGGCAAAATAAAAAAAAACATATTAGAAAGACGTCATTTCAAAATAATGAAAGTCATTTTCATAATTATACCTTTCTACTACGGATTTAGTTGTAGTTTATGTAAGGAAATAAAAAAAAAATAGATGAAAGTGATATATGTATTTATTTTTCTATTTTTATTTTGGAAGTTTATAGATCTTGTTTTTGTCTACCGACAATTGATTTTTTCTATAATTTATTCATTTTGTTCTTGCCAGTGACTTATATGATTCATTTCCGACTTAGGTAATAACTTGTCATTTTCAGTTGTATTCTATGATGTTACGAAAGCACTCTATTTTCTAAGTAAACTTAATTGACCCGTTACCAAGAAATTTCTACATTTCTTTCTTTTTTTTTGTTTTAATTAAACAGGGAGAAATGTTTGAACTAATTTACATACATTACAATTAATTTTTTTTTCGATTCAGTCAAAAACAGATTATTCATGTCGGGACTAATGTATTCATAAGAGATAAATTTTTTATACTGTGACCTCAAAAATTTATTATAATTCAAATTTAAAATATCTAAATTTATATCACATTTTTTTCGTTTTTTTGGGGGAAGGTGGTTATGAGTCAGAGTCTTGGACTAAAGGCTACGCAAAAGGTCCAAGTTGGGGTTGTTTTGTTTTTCTTCTTGACCTGGTAGTTGGGTCTTTTTTTACTTCTTGATTGATAATTTTTGCTTTTCCTTTAAGTTTCTTTATTTATACTTTCTCCCTTGTGCTTTTTCAAGCCCTGTACTTCCATGATATTTACTTCATGAGAAATGTTACAGTACCAATATATATATATATTTTGGTCCAATAAAAAGTTAACACGTCAAAAATTCGTTTATTTATTTTTCCAATCAAAGATTTTATATCATTCAAAATCAAATTAATGGCTGATATGAGAAGGTCCAAACATAAAGTTTATTGGGTTTAATGCAGAACAAATCCGTTGAATGTTCCGATACTTATAATAGTTGCAATTTAATAAACAATATGACGTTGATATGACAATGGCTGAACAAAATTTATAAAACCGATCGTAAATAGTTGGTACAAGGTTTAGTGAAATTGAATCGTAGAATCAATGTCTTAATCAATTGAATGGGTCCTCCAAGAATTTGGTGACAAGTAATTGTCGAAGAACTAAATTCAGAATGAGTGAGTCAGTCAAGNATTTTTGTCTACCGACAATTGATTTTTTCTATAATTTATTCATTTTGTTCTTGCCAGTGACTT